TAAATGTTTCAAATTTTATTTTATATTACTGTAATTTTACAACTGATTTCTGCTCTGATATAAAGGAAAATAATTCATTTTTCTTTATATTTTACATATAGATATGCTATGAAACTCTAATAAATTAACTAAGAATATTGTATGCAGATACTGATTCTGTGCACACAAACTTACAACTTGGGTTTTAATAAGATAATTCCTGTTATTAAATTTTACAAGTCTAATCTTTTCTAAATTATAAATTCATAAAAATAAAGTTAAATATCTATCAATTTTTTAAATATTTAAGAAAAATAAAATTTAAAAATTGATAAAGCATTGTATATACAAATACAATCTAAATTACATTTCAATTAAACATTTTTCTTATCATATTAAATATTGGTGTTTGCTATTTATGTGTTGTTTATATTTTAATATGTTATGAGAAGGTTTATTAATTTAATTGTTTCAAAATTTGGATAGTTTTCTGAAACCATTTCAAGAATTTCTTAAATAATATTTATATAAATACAAGTATCCTTTGACTTATAGTAAGGGTTCTGTTTCACAACTTTGGCCACAAGCACAAAATATATAACACAAGATCTTACTCAATGTGTAGCAGAAAGACTTATTATGAATAGCCACAAGTTGAGATAGCTAATAAAGTATTTAATTACAGGATAATGTTGCAAGCACATAAATCACAAATAAATTGAGAAAAAAAAAATACTTCATGGAAAAGTTCAAGTGACTGTAAATCAAGGGATATCTGTGCATTTAAGTGTTTATTCAACTGTTATGTTAACATTTTATCACTTTTTCTTGTATATTTTTCAATAGACATCAAGGGAAATTAAAGTGAATAAAACTTAAGTGATTTGTAGTAAAAAAAATAAAAAGGGAGAAATGAGAATGAAAAACACTGTTTTTTAATTAGATATATTACAATTACTTACATTGACAAATTCATTTAAAAGATGAAAATATTGCTTTCACAAATTGCATTTCTAAATTCTCTTTATTTAATGTAACACATTACATATTGACAATACAGTATTGCTTTTAAGTATCAAAATCTACAGACCATATATATATATATATTGTTTACATTTTATCAGAAATTTGACACTTTTTAAGTTTTCCATACAATATAAAAAAATGTAAACATTTTTCATGTAATTATGAAAAATATTACAATAAAAACCTTTCATAATTAATTTATAACTTAGCATTTTTAAAGTCCTTTTAAGTGTAAAAATGTTACATTAAAAATATTCACTTTATTAATACTTAAATTGTAATTTCTAAGTTTTATTTAAACTTTTTTTTTTTTTTTTAATTAAAATCTATCTATCAATATACCATTTATTGTATTCCTTAACAAATTAAATCATTTACTTCTAGCCTTGTTAATAAATTCAATTTTTTAATATTTTTCCCAAGGCAGTTTTTTATTTCCCATTCCAACTAAGATGTTGATTGAACAGGATCAAAACTAAGATTTTAATTCTGTTGGATGTCAAAATTATTATTAAAATCCAATTTCTTACTTTTATTTAAAGTAAGTATAACTTTATTAAGGATCATGCTATTTATATGTTGTTTATATTTTAATATGTTATGGGAAGGTTTATTAATTTAATTGTTTCAAAATTTGGATAGTTTTCTGAAACCATTTCAAGATGATCCTTAATAAAGTTATACATAATTTTTAATGTTTTTAAAGTCATAGAATACAGTAAGTAAAATTCTTATAATTACACATCACTATGTCTATTGTTATTTTAACTTTCTAAAATGTATTGCAAATAAAACTCATGAATATTTTTAGACCAATAAAATCAAAACAGCAATGAAAAAAATGAGAGATTCAGAAACAACTTGCAACTCATTTCCAAAATGAAATTTTTAAGACAATTAATTTTTGTTATCAAAACTGAGTAATTTTAACTTAGTCACAATGCTTTTCTGTCTGCAAGTAATGAAATGTTAAAATGTTCTTTTAACTCAATACATTTTTTGTTTATTAATAAAAAAAAATCTGTCATTTAATTTCAAGCAAATATAACATATTTTAGATATGGCTACATAATATATGGAAATGAAAAATGTAAACTTAAAAATCAAAAACAGTGTAAGATATCAGAGTGAAAAAATATAGAAATATAAGAGAAGGATAACAGAGATTAATTACATAAATTGAAAGACTGATACTGAAGAAACACTTTTTAAATTTTCTCATAGTTGGAATTTATATTTCTAAAACCTATCAAGTTAGTCAGTATTGATTCTATCAAATTTATGGATATTCTACTGATCTTTAATATATAGCTAGATAGAGAAGACTACATTGTAGCACAATTAAAATCTACAACAATAACGGATGATAAACTGTGAAATTCAGAGAAATTTCTTTAAATGTGCAAATAAAATGTGAAATTTATTATCAAGGCTAAAAGTAAATGAATTAAAATATATCAACAATCTGTTCAATATTTTTATTGATAATTCTATTCTCTTAATTACTATTAATATGATCATCTATAAATTATTTAAGGCAATAATTAATTTGTGTCATTTTATTTATTTTACAAATTTATGATATTGAAAAATATATTTATGTTTTATTTAAGTGAATTATTTTACTTTATAGGCTTTGCAGGGTTTTTCATTAAAATAAATATTATTGTATCAACTAAAAATGATATTTTGTTTAATTTCTTTACAATATGCTATATATTTTGTATTATGAGTTTCTAAACTAAATTAAAATATAATAATGTAATTGTTAAAGCAACGAATTCTTTTAATACTCATCTATATGAAGCATCTGTACTAATTTTCTCAAGATTGGTCGTATTCCTAATATCTTCATTCTTCCCAACAAATGAAAATTCATCAAGACGACTAAACTAACAGATGAAATGGCAAAATTTATCAAAAATCTAATTCTAAAAAAGTAAAAATATTCATCATCATAAATTTTAAATACAAATCAAATTTATGTAAACAGTTCTTAAAAAAATCTTTATAAATAACATTATATATTGCAGTAATTTATAAACAGTACAGCTTTAGTAATATGAAGATGCAGTTTTTAAAGTATGCAATAAGGTGAATAATAAATATATATGTATTGTTTTTCCTAAAGATATTTAATAACTTTACAAGCAATTTAAAAAAAGGAATATTGCACATACAAAAGTGTTGCAAAATTTTACATGAAAAACTTATTTTTTCAGCTGTTCTTTATGATATAAATTAGAATATTAAGCTGAAAATTGTAATATCAATATCAAATCATTACATAACAAATATTGAATGAAATTCTTTCTAAAATTTCATTAACAATATGAAAAAATTATACAGTATATATTTAAAACTATAAAAGAAATAATTATGTTTATTTTAATGTGAAAAAATACTTAGTTATACAATAACAATAACATATCTTGGTTTTCACATAGAAATGAATTGTTCTGTTAGACACAAATTTTATAACTGTTACAATTTTCAAAATAATGAAATTAGAAAATTTTCTTAAAAAAATATTGCTCACTTTGACAAATTCCAATTTATTCAATTGAAACAGTTTAATCAATTTCTTTACATATAAGTCTTTAAATATGTAAAGTAAAATTTTAAAATTGCTTGATGTAACAAATATTTAACTTTTGTTATGAATTTAACATTTGTGAATCTTTGGTTATCCAAAAGTGACTTCTAAACTTGTAAGATAAAAAAAATATGCCATTTCAAAAAAATGAAGTTGATTTATTAAACAAAAATTTTTAATTCATACAAAAAATAGTCTTAAATTTAAAATAAAAAGCAACTATGTTTAGCTTACATAACTAATATAATATTTAATGACTTAAAAAAAGTATAGAAATAAAATGTTTAAGCTTATTTTGCAAACTTCTATATTAAATATCAAAAATAAAATTAAAAAGCTTTAAATGAATTTATAAGTTAAAAAAAATGAGAAAACATCACAGTTGTGAATATCTGTACTTTGAATCACAGAAAACAGTTATTTCTGGATTTAAGACAAATTTGTATCAAATGATTATCTATTTTTACTTATTGGAAGTAATAAAAATTATTATTATTAATTTTTTTTGTCTAAATAATTTATTATAAATTTGTCTAGTACAAAATAATAATGATATTAATCCAGAACTTTATATTTTGTGTTATTTGTAAATTTTGTACAGTAATACTAACTAAAGTTTTTATGTACAAACTTTATATAAACCTGAAAACAATTTATATCATAAATTGTTTTACAAGTTTTAAACTATAGTTTTCATTAATTTATATATGAATTAAAACAAGAATACTAAACAGGAATGTATAGAAATTCTCAAATATAATAATGATAATTCAATTATTATTTATTTCAATTTACAATTATTAAATTTTAGACTATGCTAATTTAATATTTACAAAAATTCTTCTTTGATTTAAACTCATTTTAAATCTGTAAAATATTGAAGGATTTCAAGATTTAGGATTTATTTGTGGATATTGCAGAAATTAATTTTTGGAATAACTGTTTTTCAATATGAATTAATAGCTGTTAATATGTGTTAATATGCAATGTTTTGTTCAAATTATCAAACTAACATTTACTAACATGATTACTATTTTTGGTAATTATTGAAATTTATTTTCATAAAATTACTATTATAATATAAATAAAAGAATTCCATTACATTTAAAAAGTTGCCTCAATAAGAATTTTTCTAGATGCCTTGAATTTCAAATTCATTATAAAAGTGGTTAAACTTTGGGAAATTTTCATTTCATTTATTACTTGAAAAGTTTTGTTTGTTTAAATGATACTTCATATCAAGACAAAGTGAAAGATATTTATAAATTTTAAATTATTCTAGAACAGTATTTAATATTGATTTCCCTTGATTAAAAATATTTAACTTTATATTAAACCTGCATTAATTTTTTAAATTTTTAAGCAAAATTATCACTTATTGCTTTTAATTTGTATAAGAAATATGCAATTTGCATCTTTTTTCTTTAATATATATTTATAACATCTTTCACTTTTAAACACATTATAAAAAAATTTCTTACATAAGGCTTTTCATTACTTCAAAACCTCTGTATATTATAATAATTGATACAGATTCTATAAAATTCAAGAGTTTTGCTTGTTTTTTCAAGCTAATCATATTGTGATAAGTGAACAAAGTTACAGGTTGATATATTAATATTTATTTAATTAATTATAATGAGGTTTTTCATTATATTTTTCAAAAATTATCCAAGAGTTACAATGGTATGAATAATTAAAATACAACTTAGAAATTGCTTTTTTTATATCAATAAAACTAATATCCTAAATTATGTTCTATCTACAAAATGTTTGTAATGAGAAATAACACATTATCACATCTAATTTAGATACCTAGATAAGAAAACAATGATACACCATGGTCCCTATTTACATTCTGTTTTGGTATTATTTTCATTTGATCCACTGGAAATTTTATATAAACATTTGTACAATGTCACAAAAGTCCATACTTCCAGGCAAATTAATTTCATTTCTTTTTTAGTCAGCTGTTTCAACTCTCGGTCTTTATAACCATATTTATACAATATGAACTTTCTTATAAAAACAAACTCATTATCAATTTTGGCACACTTCCAATAGTTACATTGACAATGAGTACAGAGTTTTGTGACAACTGTATAAGTGCCAATCCTGAGAATAAATATATATTATAAGCTTTTTATAATATTTCCATATCATCTGGAATGAAATTAGCAAAAATACAAAATAATTATATCAAAAACAAATTATGTATAATGCCATTGAAAACAACAATAGTGATAGTAAAAAATGTTGCAAACATTTAACATCCGATTTATTGAATCAATTAAATTTTTCTATCTTTTATTGTATTTACAAGATTAAAAAGTACTTGTAATATACTAATATATATATATACATACATATATATATGTATGTATGTTTATTGTGTTTCTTTGTGTGTGTTTGTATATGCTCGTATCACATCATTCATATGCCCACATATATTTATAAAATAAATGCATTTTAAATTATTTAAAACAATAAAACTAAAGCAGTTTTATCTTTCATTTAGTTAAATTGTAAAAATAAATACTTGTACATCACAATACTCTAGTATTAGGAAATATTATTACTTATTCTTTATATGAATACAGCTATAAATTTTTAATAAATTTGATCCTGTCTAAATAATTAGAAAACTATTCTTGTCTTTTACTTCTATACGCAATCTTCCATTGACATGAGAAGAGGATTTACATATTCGAATCCTTCAAATTCTGACTGATCAATTTTATCAATTACTTTCCTGAAATAATACACAATAATTTTAGTAATTAATTTTACTATACTAGATACACCCAACTATAAAATAATACTTAGTTATATATTAAAATTAATAATGATAACTTACTATGCAAACTACATATTAAAATTTAATTGCTGTATATTAAATTTAAATATCAAACAACAAACATACTATTTATGATATATGTTGTTTGACATTTACCAATCCTTATCAAATTTTATAAGTTAAAATTTATCATTCAAAAAATATAGTACAATTATTAAAAATATTTCCTATACTTCAATACATTTTGTTTCACTAAAATTATAAGTTTTAAATAATAAGTTAATAGGTAAAAATAAAACAACTTTGAATTAAACAACAAAACTTATATAAATATTTAATAATGTAATTTGTTGAAAAGTTTTCCAAATATATTATCTCTTTGATTTAACAGATCTCTGCTTATTACATCTTGAATTTAATGTATTCAACAGAATATTCTACTTAAGGAATATAATATTGTGTATTCTGTAATGTTAACTGAATAGCATTGATGCTAAAAAATCAATTTTTTAAGGAGTCCACAGATAGGTTTTATTTACAAATTAATTCTAGGATTATGTAATAGAAAATAAAAATTAAATTCAATAAAATCAGATAAAATATACAGTATAACACTTATATGTGGACTTCACTTTGTTAGAACACTTAAACAAAAAAAAACTATACCTGAACTGGGATCAAACCATCCTAGTGTTACTTGACACAAGACACCTTCATGTCAGAATGGCAGAAGTTAGTGATCTCCTCCATAATCTCTTATCAAAAGCAAGAGGAAAGAACAATTTCCCCAATCCATGGATATGATTCATAAGCTCAATGGCTAGCAATAGATCCCAAATAATGGACTGGTCAGTTCTTCATAAAAGAAACTTCTAATGCTTTGAACTCATAATAACTGACCCAATTTCAGACCTTTTACAGCCCTGAACAATACTAAAAATAGTCATTAAGTTCACACACAGGTGTTTTACTGTACATTTATTCTTTTTTTGGGCGAACTGTTCTTAATAGTTTTAGAATTATGTGAAGTGTGAAGTTCTGCAGTCCATCATCACCAGGAATGAGAATATGGTTCTATAATAAGATCCACTGTCCATAAGAGAAATGATGGAACGGTACCGTGCAGGGGAATCTCCTTTGAAGAAGACAAAAGTGTCATAGTTGACAAAGGATAAGGCAATGATTTTTTGGGTTCATGACTGAATTTCTCCTTGAAGTTGATCAATAAAGATCAACTTCAAGGAGAAAAATTCTACAGTAAATGCCAATTATTATGCCAATCTGATGATAAAACTCTGGGATGCCATAAAAGAGAAGAGGAGGGGTAAATTTTCAAAAAGTGTGTAGCTTCTACATGACAATGCACCCATCCACACTTCGTTTTATGTAAAGACTCCATTAAAGAATGAAGCTTCTCTAAACTTCCTCATTGCTTTATAAACACTCAGGGTCAGATTGGGACTATATATCTGGCCCTGAGTGACTACTATTTGTTCTCAAAATTAAAGTATGATCTTTGCGACAAAAGTTTAACAGCAATGAAGAGGTCTAGTCAGAGGTTTTTAAACATTTTGAGGGCAAATACAAAAAGTACTTTCCTGATCATATAAATTTGTTAATTCCATATTATGAAAAATGTATTGTAATAAAGGGATATATTAAATATATCCCTTTTATTACAATACAATACAATTATATTAAAATATATTAAATAATAATAACATGTCTTTTATTTATTTGATTTCTTTCTTGCTCAGGTTGAGAACTTTTGTACCTTACTACATAATATACCAAAAAAATCTAATTCATAAATAAATAACTGCCCATGGACTCCTTAAAATTTGTTTTTTAGTGTCAGTGTTTTTCTGTTATTCAGTTAATGTATTCATTTTTCTGAACCAAAATCATTATGTTTAAATAAGTTTTTTGGAGTCTACTAAATTTTAGTAAATATTTCTTATTCATTACAAAATGGAATATTTTTCTTCATTTTCTTATAATTTACTGTCAAAAATGTCTAAATACAGCAATCTATAATGATGAATAGATAACATAGGAAATATAAGAAGACAACATCAACAGTAGTCTTTAAGATAGAAGTGTGAAATGTTGACTCATCAACATTTCACACTTCTATCTTAAAGACTACAATGCAAGCCAGTGCCTCTCAAATTGAGAAGTTGTAAAATACAAATATCTTTAAAACTATTAATAATTTATTGTTCTTGATGTATTCAATTTCAATTAAAAAATAATCACAACACATTATCATCTTATTTTACACAGGAATTGTGTAAAATGAAATTCCACATAGTTCCAGACAATTGTCTAGACCAGGTATAGTGGAATGTAATCTACTTTCATAAATCAAAAGTACCAATAATCTACCTTTATATTTTTATTCTGTTGTAAGTTTATTAGGTTTTATAAAATAAAATATGCTGCAAAACAGTTACATTTATTTATGGCATTATAATGATGTTTCAAATTATACATATATTTTTTGATAAACATTTAAATTAAATAGCAGCATTTATCTTCTTAAAAAATAAAAATGTTATATCCCATTCATCCGTGAAATAAGTTTAGTTCTGTTTTTGGTGTACTCATTTTGTAAAAAACCGAAATTGTTAAGAACATAATAAAATTACTTCTAAACTTATAACAAGATCTAGATAATCCATTCAAAGAGAACATTGCCATTCCTTGCTCTGTAACTATGCATGCACTTTTCATTGTGCTGTAGTCAGAAACAAAAAATGAGCACTTTATCCACAGAACACAGCACTACCAATTCATATTCCCATGTATTTTAAATGTTTTTTACATTTTAACAGACTGTATTATCCATGCCTGGTCTAGACCTTTACACAACCATTTACAATTAAACAACACTCTACTTTCTTTGTTACTCTAAAGTACCTCTATTAGTCAATTTAGTTGTCAATAACTACTAAACTAATAAAACTCATAAATTATAGTTGTATTTAGTGTATAAAGCTGTTACTTATAAGCTGTTTGTTAGAACTGTAAATGTTAATTAATTTTTAAAATAAGTGATATGAATTTAAAGTCATAATATACTAATTAGAAATATAAACTCAAGGAGCCATGAATTTTTGAAATCAGATTTAGAAAGCCTTGGCATCAAAAAGTTATCAACAAAAACAGTTTCTTTACTCATCAAACTGTATCAATAAACATGATTTATGATATAATGGGACCAAATGATTTGTCAGATTTTTTATCAGGTTAAATTAAACCTAAATTAATAATTAGATATAAAGAAATTTGACTAGAGATAGGAACTGAAGCTACCATCTCATGATAAATTTAATAATTATGAATGAATTAATTTTTGATTTAGAATATTATGGAAGAAAAGATCACCTTGGAGAGGGGCACAAACCCCAAATTCTGCTTACCAAGTAGATGCATTGTCAGTTTTACTATGCAGACCTGTCAGATCTTCACTTCCAAAGCTATTAATTAATTAAGATATAACCATACTGGTCATTCACACTGCTGATTGGAGACAACAAGTACAATTACACCAAAATGCTTTGTATCAGATTATTAATTTAGCTTTAAAAATTCCAATGGATTGTTTTGTACTACAATAACATTGTATCAGATTGTACATGTTATTAAGTATAATGTACTTAATCTTACATAGATTAAACATTTAGCACTGGTATAATTTTGACATCTATAAATTATATATATTATTGACAGTTTAACATTTTACAAAGATTATAAGCAAAATATTTAATATGTTAAAAATCCTGATACATGTCATAACAAGCATTAAAATGATGCATCATGTAACTTCATTATAATGAATGATCTATATTGAAAGAACTAAGCATATTCAAATTTTTAAACAAACATTAAACAAAACCATGCTTGGCAATTATTTTATATATTGTCTTTACAAAGATGCTGACATTTCTTATTAGATTATCCAATATTTGGAAATATTCATTTAGTAACACTCTTTAAATTTAAGTTAATAAGACTAGCACAAACTAGAAAAATACAAATCATAACATATTTAATAATAATAATATTTCAAAAATAATTTAGAAAAAAAAAATAATTTGTTCAAAAATGTTAGAGCTTTCAGATATTTTGATCAGTAAAATAATTTCATATATATTACATAATAAAATACTTACAAGTCATCTGGTGTCAGCTGAACTGGTTCACTTGTAAACTGTGGATCAAAATGCTCCAAATCACGATCAGTTTCTAATTTTGGTTTATATGGAGGTGTAACTTGTTTAGCTTCCAACTGAAGAAAGAAAAGAAACTTTCAGTTATAATTATTAATACTTTAAAAAATATTGATTCTTTAAATAAATTCAATTTTATGTTAGAAATAGCACAGTTATGATTTTTTTTGTGACACGAAATCATAAAGAAAATTCCTTTATCATAATCACTAAAAATTTAGAATTTCATCGTAACTAAGTTAAAAATATTAATGAAATAAACAAAAGCAAAAATTTACAAACAAAAAATAATTTTTATTTATAAATTTTTGAAATACAGTAGAACCTTGATTATCTGGACTAATTGGGGATGAAGGTAGTCCAGATAATGAAAAATCTGGATAATCGAAACAAATACTTTGTCTTTTAATGATAATACAACATGTTTTCTTTTCGATGACATATCGGTAATATTAAAAGTAAATACTGTATTTAAATCGTGATCAAATTTTCAAGAAACAAACGTTCATATTGAATTTGGACTATTACTGACCAATGCTAACAGACTACCTATTGTTTAAAAAGCCCTCTGGTGGCACAAGAAGAAGATTTTATAAAATAAAAAGCAGTTGAAACTGCATTTTTATGAATAAAAATTTGACAAACTATTTATCGTTTTATGACGAGTAAAATTTTTTTGTCGCGTTCGCGGCTTTTAAGTAATGCATAAACCTTCGAAATGCAAGGCTCTTCGGACGCGAATAAGGTTTATTTTCCGGGATCCCGTTTTCCCGGGATTCTCGCCGTTTATTCCCTACGAGAAAAATCCCGGAAAATTTTATTTTTCCGGGAAATCTCGCATTTTAATAATAATTTACCATGTCAGGTTTTCTTTCTATTATTTATTATACGAAAAGTTGCATCTTGAAGACTCACCTAAGAGAGAAATTTTGAGGTTTCTTGCTGCATATTATTACCTATGTTTTACAAGTCTCTACTTGTTAGTTCATGTAATATCTATGTATTGTGTTTGCGCATCATTGAACAGCGGAGACTTGCTGAAAGTAAATATCACTCATCGCACTTTAGTTTATTTTTTATTTCATCTTTAGAAGTAAAATAGTATTTTTTTTGTAATCATTAAAACTCCCAATGAAACACTTTATTTTACTTTCATTTTATTATGTAGGAGAACATAAATTAATTGAGCCTAACGTGTCCGTATGGGTGAGATTGGCCCTACACTTTTAGTTACTTACTAGAAAATATATTAAATTATTCAAATTTATGATATTCCTGTATGATCTTTTTTATTCATATAAAATTCTATTTTACTATCTCATCCCGGAATTTCCCGGGATCCCGGTAAAAGAAATTATTTTTCCCGTAATCCCGCTGGAGGCAAATTTCCCGGGAAATAAGAAACCCTAGACGCGAAGCATAGGCGGTGGCCCACGTTGCCCATGCCTTACGCCGCCCTTGGTCATATAAATGATATAATTTGAAAATAAATTATTTATAAATACGTATGTCAAGTTATATTTTTATTACGACACAAAATATATTTAAGAGTTTACGGCCACTGTGCTGGGTGAGACATTGTTGAAACAAAAAAAGTTATGCATTCCACCACGTACATAAACAGTATTGTAATTCGCCAAGTGCAAGTGTTATATTCGTAAAATTTTTGTTTATTTTGAACAATCCGGATAATCGAAAATCCGGATAATAGAGGTCCGGATAATCGAGGTTCTACTGTATTACTAAAATAAACAATTTTAAAAAATTAGGTTTCCATTGAAATTTTATTTTATTTCACTTCATAACATGTATATGAGATGCTCATTTGCCAAATTAGTTTTAACTCCACAAAACAAAAGGTAGAAAAATTCTTAAAATATTGATAATACACTTCTTTTCTTAAACTCTTTTGAAATTTAAATTTAAATAAACATTGTAGAATATATTACAGGTGCAGTACTCATCATTAGACAGTAGAATATATTACTGTCTAATCTATACTAATATTATAAAGAGGTAATGTTTGTAAGTTTGTATGTAGTGGGTAATCTCCGAAACTACTCATCTGATTTCAAAGATTCTTTTGCCAATATTTTGAATGGAACTTCAGGGTGGACATAGGCTGTATATTATTCTGTTAAGCATTCATATAAATTAAAAGATATAATCTAGGTTAAGGCTTTTATGTCAAACAGATGGTGCTACGAGTATGACGCCCTAAGTTTGCTTTTCTGTGAGAATGAACTAAAGCAGATCATCATCTATCTATCTATATAAATAAATAGGGTTTCTCATTTCCCAGTCTTTTGCTTGTCCCAGGATCCCGGGATAAAAGTGAACTGTTTCCTGGGATCCTGGGAAATCCCGGGATAGGATTAATTATTTTTAAGGTATACAAAATATCTTTAAATCAAATGATATAATTATTTTCCATTTTTTAAAGTAATTTTAAAGTTCTGTAACCTCAAAAATCATATTAATAATGCTGTGTAAGGTCTATAGGCCTATAATAAAAATTACCTTTAAATAACGTAGAAATTTTCACAAATAGAAAAAAATTAATTAAAGTTTGCTGGAAACTGCATACAACAACAACAAAAAAAATGTTTTGAATTGAGTTAAAAATTAAAAAAATGAACTTCTAATTTAGAAGGTAATTTTCGTTTTTTAAATAAAATATAATACAAAATATTGCAAACTTTTATAAGATTTTAAAAAGCAAAGATGGT